CTTTCATTTTATATATTTTATATAAAATATTCATTAAATCTAAATCGTGATTATATTAAAATAAATTATATGAATGATATAATATTAAATATATAACAAATATAACATAAATATTATATCATTCAATAACATCATTATTATTAAATTTATAAATATAATATTTGATATATTTGAAAATAAATGAAATTAAACAATGAGTATGTTATTAAACATATTAATATTCAATATTTAATGATGAAATAATAAAATATAATTATTTATAATAATTTCTTTATATTTCTTATTATTATTTTCATTATATTATTATATTCATCATTGAATAATGATAAAAATAATAAATATCGTAATGATTGAAATAAAAGAATAAAATATAAATATAATCAAAATAAAGATATAAAAAGATAAATATTATAAATAAAAATAAAATATCAATATTTTGATTATTATATTTCATAATAATAACTTATTCATTATCAAATTCAACAATAATATTCAAATATTATATATTGAAACATTCATATTTATTCAATTATAATATAACAATATGATAAGATTATAATAATGAATTAATAGATGATAATAATAATAATGTATAAGATGATGATATAGAATATGATAAATATCAAATATTTCATTGACATTATTACATTTAATAAATATAAATTTTATAATTAAATTCATCAATAAATGAAAATATAATAAAATATAATTATAATAATAAGAGAAATGATAAATAATAATGAATAATCAAAATAATTTTATTTATTTTATTTTAATCATAAATATTGATATTAATCAAATTAAAATATAATGATAATGATAATAAATATTGAATGAAATAATTATAAAATGATAATATAAAAATAATAATAATTTTAATATATTTTGTATTTGATTTATAATAATAATAATCAATTAAATATATAATATTTCTATATCTATTCCATTCCATAATATCTTCATTTATTTACAATATGTAATTATATCAAAATGACATATTAATGATGAATTATATTTATTTTTCATTTTTAATCAATAAAAACAAAATAATAAATAACAACGGGTAAAATATTTTGTATGAATAAAATATTGTTAATTATTTTGTACCATTAGATTAGACACTTTTTTATTTCATATTTCTAATTTCTATAATAAAAATACACTATTATTTCATCATTCTTTTCATCTTTTATTATGTCTTTTTGATATACCCCTTTTTATATTCTTTCATTTTATATTCTCAATTTTCTTATTCTTTTCATCTTCTTCTACTTCCTAATTTCACTTTATTTCTTTTATATCATTCTTTCTCTTCACATCTCTTTATTTTTTATCTTATTTATTTCCTTTTTTTCGTATCATTACAATAGTATTTCTAATGTTCAAAATCAAATTTCATCTATTAATATTTATTTTAATTATTAGTTTGTTTTGTTCAATATTTGTCATTTTGATAATACAATTAAGTTATTTTTAATAACAAATAATTTGTTTAAACTATATCTTATTAATAAGTTTTATTCAATTATATTCAATTTTACATTACTTTGTTGTTATTGTAATCTTTTTTATACATAAAAATTAATTACTTCTATTTCTTACTTTATCATTTAATTTCTAAACACTTGTGAAAATAAAGTTTTATGATTATACAAAAAATTAATTTCAATTATATTTCTTATTAAATTTTGTAGATGATTTCTTGTATATCATATTGTTTATTTTTTTCTATTGTTTGTTTAATATATAATTCAAATTTTTCATTTTATTAGTTGAAATTCTTTGTTTCATTATATTGAATAAATATTCTTTATCATTAATA